GCCTACGCCGTGGTCTCCACGCTGAGCGCCTTCTACCTGCCGCTCGGCGTGGTGCTGTTCGTGTACTGCCGGATCTACAGGGCGGCCCGGCTGCGGCTGGGCTTCCGGAGGAGCAACAGCGTGCATCCTGCGCCGAAGGCCGTGCAGGTGCGTGTCAGACCCTCAAACCTGTCAGCTCTGTCCTGGCTTTATCCCCAGCACCCCTCCCCTCAGGCGTGTAGAAAGTGGGGCTTTTTAGTTTCTTGTGGGTTTTGGGGGGGGGGGCAGGGCAGGGAGGGTGTTGGGTGGAAGACCAAAAGAAAGCATCAGACTGTCTTTGCTGGGACATGCTCAGCATCCCAGAGCCGATAATGACTTCACCACCTTGGAGGGATGACTTCCTTGCTTATAAAATGAGGGTCTGGACCACTTAATTCTACCCTGTCCCATTTGGCTCTAAAATTTAGAGCATCTGAGGAAGCCAGTGCCTGGGCTATTCCGGGTCACCTGGCAGCATCCTGCCCTTAGAGGGGCTGTCCAAGCAGGAGGGCCGGGGTCGGGTAGGGTGGTGGGGGGGTGAGGGGGGGAGTGACTGGGCAGGAAGATGGCCATACAGTAGGCCACCCACATTAGTATTTCAACTCAGTCCATTTCTTTCTTTGCAAATTAAAGCAACTAATTTTGCAAACTGTGGTTTCTCCCTGATTCCTGGTTATGGCATCCTGCTGCAAGATTAAAGCTGTTTCCACACCTGCCCCAGGGCCAGCCTGTGATCCGGACTCCTCTGTCCCACTCGGCCTGGGGCCTCATGACCCCTCGGGCCCTGTATGCAGTTCAGGGCCACTCGTTCGCCTCCTGGCAAAGCCGCAGGAGGAAGTCAAAGACAAGCAGCCCGCCAGCCCCCTGCAAGCGGCTTTAGTGTGTGGCAGTGGTGACAGCACCAGGAGGGCTCTTTTCTCGTTTTCATTGTTAAATCTTAATCATCTGAGTCTGTGGTTCAAAATTTGGGAACTGTCTGAGGACCAAATCCAGGGTCTGTGGACTGCTCTTCCCCACCCCAACTCAGTGCCAAAGATGATCCTTCGAACCTAATTAACATATACAAGTGCAAAGCCCCATTTTCTATGGTTGGCTCTGGGAGAACAGGCACATTCAATTAAGCAGCCTGGGCACGTCTGGGCTGGTGGGAGGGACGAGAGAATGATGAAGGTGGCGTCTTTGTCATGCAGAGTCTGTCTAGTGCGGCAGTGAGGCACCTACTGTGAGTTCTGGCAGGAGCTGATTCCAGCCATCCTCAGCCGGGCAGGCCTGGCGGGACCAGCGCTGTGGGTCAGGGGGAAGGAGAGAGCTACACTCGGGGGAAAGAGGGAAAAGGTCAGAAGCTGCCTGTGCTCTATCCGGAGCGACGTTCTCAGGCGGGGATGATTTCGCACACACACCACCCCGCCCCCGGGACATTTGGGGCATCTGGACACATTTCTATTGTCTTGGGAAGGGGGTGCTACGGCACCTCCTGTGCAGAGGCAGGGCTCGGCCAGAGCTTCGCCCAAGGCCCCGCGCCCACAGCAAAGACTTCCTCAGACCAACATGCCCGCAGCGCCAGGTCTGATCTATTAGATTTCCAAACCAACAGAGGCGATAGGCAAGAGTGCCGCCCACGTACCTGGGGCTCACGTGCGGGCTTCCGCCCCAGCTCCCAGTCAGGAGAAAAGGCTGCCTTCCAGGCCCTTCTTCATGGACCCTCTCCTGCCACCTGCTGGTAAAGACCGTTTACATTCAGTACCAAACACACTTTAAAAGGGAAGCGCAGTTACAATTCCTTCTGGGCTCACTGAGCAGGACAAGGGCGCTCACTGCCTGGGAGACAACAGAAGCAAAGCGTCGTGACATCTTTGTGCTTTTACATCTATTTTTGGCGCGGTTTCGCTTTTC